TACCGATTAAGTTTACATACACTTCCGTTCAATTTTTTTTTTTTTCGTATAGACTATCGAAGGAATTTGTGAACTTTATTATTATTATTATTATTTTTTCCTTCTGCTACCATTAGCAATAAATTGAAATAACTTTTTCGTGACAAAAGAAATCATAAAATGGAATAGATTGAGAGAGAGAGAGAGAGAGAGATCTCATTAAGAGATGGAGTCGGATAATGATCTGTAATTTAATTTTATATTGCGGTTTTCGATGTCGGATAAGAGAGCAGTGACTTTTTCATACCGAAATTCTTCTGCTTTCTCTCTCTCTCTCTCTCTCTCTAATTTTGCTTTATGGCTTTCTGAAAGAGAATATCGGCCTTTCTTTCTTTCTTTTTGTAATAAAAGGGTAATTATTTGTTTTAGAATTCAACACTCCCGACGAACTTACCTACGTTTTCCATCCAGCCGTCGGAAACGTTTGTAATTTCAAAGTTCAAGCAGCCAATGATGCACACATTGCTCTCACGACCGGTCCAGAAGAAGCTGATCCCATGTACGAGGTTGGTATAATTGTTGATTGAACGCTGAAAAAGTTAACGATTTCATTATTAAAGGTTTAATCATTATTATTATTATTATTACTATCTGAATAGGTTTTCATTGGTGGTTGGAGAAATTCTAAATCCGTTATTAGAAAGGACAGAACCAAACCTGACGTCGTCGAAGTCGAAACTCCAAACATTCTCTCCGAAGGTGAAATGAGAGGTTTTTGGATCAAATGGGGAGACGGTAAAATAAGCGTGGGAAAACAAGGCGAAGAAGCTTTCATGACTCACGAAGATCCAAGTTTTAAAGTCGGTCATTTGGGATTTTGCACGGGATGGGGAGCCACCGGAAACTGGGTCGTAGAAGGTAAGTAATACTAGAAAAAAAGGAAACGAATTAAATTTGTGCCATCGATCCCGCAGATATTTTTTTTATTTAAATATATTTTCGCCTTCTCCCCCCCCCCAAAAAAAAAAAAATCGATAAATTTCCCATCTTTTTGTTTAATAAATAATAATGATAATAGTAGTTAAAAATGTAAGTCTTGTGAAAAATGTTTGTTTCGCGTTGAGTTGAGAATCTAAATTTAGTCGGAAAAATGGGCGTAATTAATTGAATTCTTTTCTTTTCTTTTTGATTTAATTGTTCGTTCCAATATCTCGTTAATAAAAAAAAAAAAAAATTTTTTTCTATTCGGCAAAACGTGAAAGGATTGATTCATATACAAAAGGTTAAATCGATGATGAACCTTTATTATTATTATTATTATTATCGTGACTAAGGAAATAAATTGACGTGAAGTTTATTTATTCATGTTTTCTTATTAGCAAAATTGTTTTCAGCAAATGGAAATTATTTTAGTCTTTTTCCAAAGTGATTTTTTTTCCTTTCGAAATTAATAAAAAGGTTGTTGGACAACATTCAGAAAGGGGGTGGGAGGGGGAGGGAAGGAAGGAAAGGTGTTTTTGATTTATTGCCGTTTCTTAGGCTTCCTTCCCCCCCCCCCAAAAAAAAAAGAAAATAAATTTGTATTTATTATTTTTCATTCGTTAGGGAATAAATAATAAAAAAAATTAGGTTTTGCTGTCGTTTGTTTATTTTTCAAAAACATTCCCTGTCACGTGGTACACTCGTTTACTGGAAAAAAAAAAAAAATTACGTATTTATTAAAAAATTATTGGTTTTAGCCATTTGCGTAAATGCTTACTGCCTGATCGTTTGTTTTTTCTTTTTTTTTTTTTTTGTGTGTATGTGGCAACATTTGGCACAAAACAGTTGTTTGTTTTCAACAACCAAGGGCGCAAACAAATTCATTTCATTATTATTATTATTATTATTTATTCTTTTTAGTCGAAATAATGGCAGGCAAAACGAGGTCAATATCAATATCAATTGTTGTTACTATATTTTTATTCATTTATTGTTATAAAAAAAAAAAAAAAAAAAAAATTAAAAAATGTATGCCTTATTATTATTAACGTTTGTTTGTTTGTTTGTTTGTTTGCCCGGGGGGGGGGGGGGAATTTTTATGAAATGGCAACAATATTTATAACAAACGATAAAAAAAAAAACAAAACGGTTGGCGATTGTTAATTGTCTTAATTGATATTCGACCAACTTTTTGTTGTGTTTGGTGTAAACGTGGAAGAAACTGAAAATGTTTGTTTAAAAATTTTCGACCTTTTTATATTTTATTTTAAAACCTGAATCACGTGAAAAATAATAATAATAATATTTTTTTTTATCGTTTGTTTGTTGTTAATTTTTTAGAACCACCCAAAAGAGAAGCCTATTGGGAAAAAGGAGCCAACGGTGAAGTACCACAAAACGTCGTCACCGGAGGAACCGACAACGAAACCGGTGACGTTTTACTCGTTGCAAGAGCCGAACACGAAGGTGCCGTCATTCCAGGAAAATTTGTACCAACTCACGGTGTGACATACGTTTCGTGGGGAGGTGCCGAACATGCTAAAGATGAATACGAAGTGAGTTTATAAAAAATGAAAGAAAGAAAGAAAAAATCAATGGAGGATATCGAAATATCATGCGTACATGTAAAAAAAGGAGAGGCGCCATCATGATTTTTTTAAAAATTAAATCGTTAACATCTTTATTAAAAAAAAATGCGTGTTAATTAAGAGCTGTGAGTTAATTAAGTACTAATGAGTTAATTAATTAACAATTTTTTTTATTAATTATTATAGATCTTATGCGGTTGCGAACCACAATGGGTAAGCGCACAAGATGGTGAAGTCCCACCAGGAGCTTTGGAAGGTGGTAAATCCGAAGACGGTGAAGTTTTTTACATTGGACGTGTAAATGACGGTGAAAAACTCATGATTGGAAAGGTAATACTCACTCACTCACTCACTCACCCACTCCTCTCCCTATCCCTCCCTCCCTCTCACTCACTCAATTTTTTTTTTTTTTTTTTCAGGTTCAATCGAGTCACAAGGTATGCTACGTTCCATACGGTGGAAACGAATTAGCTTATCCGAATTACGAAGTCCTCGTCGTGTAAACAAATATGTCAACCTTCGACACAACACACACACACACACAATTAAAGAGCAGCTTTGATAAACATCTGCTTTTTTTTTTTTTTTTTTTTTCTTCAATCAAGTTCCATGACGTATTTATTAGATATAGTAAAAAATAATAATAATGATAATAAGAAGCTTTTAAGTGCTTTTATTTTCGTATCACGTGCGTGCTGCTGCCTTTGGAAGGAAAAAAGAGAAAATAATAATAAAGTACTCGATTAAAAATATTATTATTATTATTATGTTATTATATGAGTACTTTAAAAAAAAAAAAAAAAGAAGGCAAAAGTAAAGAAAAAAAAAACATAAACAAAAATAAATATTGTTTACTATTTAATTAAAATAATAATAATAATAATAATGGGTTAAATTTTTGTTTTTTTTTTTTATTTTATTTTAATTTATTTAAATAAAAACGATTTAATAAAAATAAATTATTTAATTATTATTTTAAAACCTTACAATGCATTTCTCTTCTTCTTCTTCGTATTATTAATAATAATAATAATAATAATAATTACGTGAAAGTTAAAGTTAATGAAAAAAAAAAAAAAATGTATATATAAAGAAAATATCAACGGTAATAATATTAATAATAATAATTATTATTATTATTACTACAAATAGTGGAGAAAAATGACTTGCCCTAAATTAATCGTTTAGAGAATAATAATAATAATAATAATGATAATGATAATAACTAAGACTAAATATACAAAAAAATAAATTAAAAAAATTAAAAAAAAAAAAAAAAAAGAGATTTCTTAAATGAATTTCCGTGACGACATTTTTTTTTCCGTCGATTCGAATTTAAAAAAAAAAAAAAAAAAAAAAAATTTCAACAAATTACGTATGTATGTATGTATGTATGTATGTGAGTAAGAGACAAATAATTTTCGAAAAAAAAATCAATCAATCGATCGATAATTAATCGATAATTAATTAATAGAATTGTCATGGAAAACATGGCGGATAAACTAATAATGACCATGCGTGTGTGCCAAAATATAACCCCAGCAAAATTTTTAAAAAATATTTAAAAAAAAATTAAAATGATAACAATTTAACAAAAAAAAAAAAAAAATAAATAAATAAATAAAACGATAATTGTTTCAATGATTAATAAATAAAATCTTATTGATTGATTATTTTTTAATTTTTAAAAAAATTTAAATAATGAAATGCCATAAAAAGTGATATAAAATGCCATGTATTGAAATGTATACGGAAATGTTTGTGTGTGGGTGGGTGTGTGCGTGTGGGAAATAAAACGACGATTTATGTCATGGAATACACATAATGATAATATAAATATATAAAAAAAAAAAACAAAAAAATACTTAATGAATACTTCTTTGAATGCTGGAAACCATTTCTATCTCCCTCTCTCTCTCTCTCTCTCCCCTTCATCTTTGCAGTAACTATATATTTTTTTTCCACACAGCAGAATGAATGTTGTTTTGTTTGTTTGTTTGTTTGTTTGTTTACACTTGTATCAAAATGCAGATGAGAAAAAAATTTCATGTAATTAATTTTTTCTTCAATGATTTAACACCTAAAAAATAATCAATTAAAAAAAATTAAACATGGCTGAAAACAAAACAAAACAAAAAAAAAAAAAAAATTTTATTATTAATACATTTTAATGGGAAATTTTTTTTTAATTTTCCAAAAGGGAAGATAATAATAATAACAATTCATATTGTGTAATTTCAATAATAAATAATAACTCACCTTATTTTAATATTTCTATCATTATTACAATTATTATTATTATTATTGTAAATTCTCTTAAAAACAAGATGGCGTGAAAAAAAAAAGAAAAGAAATTACATTTTTGTTACAAAAAATTATTAATTTGGGGGGGGACTTTTAATAATATTCACACTCATCCTATAATTATCCCTATTTTAACAAATCTAAGACAATAATCTATTTAATAAATAATGTATCTCACTGATAAAGCTTTTTAACAATTAATAATAATAATAATAATAATTTTTAACTCTATTTCCTACTGATGATATATAAAATTGATTATTTAAAACCTCAATTTAATTATTATTATTATTATTATTACTTTTGTTATCATCATCACAACTACATAGATTCAATTATTTGGCTTTTTTTAATAAATAAATAAATAAATAACAATTTACTCGAATTGAAAGACAAAAATAAAATATTATTAATACTATTCGGTCATTAAATAATCACATTTTTTTTTTTTAAATTCGGCGAACCTAATTAACCTAACAAAGTTTTTTCTTTGCTAAATCAAGTGATAAGGTCAAATCCACTAGAAAAAGCATTAATTGATAAACAATTGCAAACTAATATCAATAAAAATAATTAATTAATTAATTAATAACTTATTTTTAAATATTGTTAATAATATGGAACTTTTACGATAAAAATTATTCATTTCTATATATATATATATATAATTTTTTTTTATCGATTTGTTTTTTTTGTTGTTGTAAAAAGTAGTAAAGTTAAAATTTGTTCATGATATCATCATATACATAATTAAATAATAATAATAATAATAATAATAATTATAATTTTTTACCTATGAAAAATTTTTGCAAGTTGCATTTTAAATAAATAAAATCATTTATGGGGTTCCATATTATGAACGATATATATGTTAAAAATAAGTTATGTGATTATTACCAAAATTAAATGTTAAAGACTCTCTGTGTGTAGGGGTTATTTTTATGTTTATTCATCACCTGACTCTTTTCTTTGTTTAAATAATTGTTCCATAATAAAATTTTTGAGTTTTGCATATGCAATATCAATCGAGTCATTAATGATAACCAAATGAAAATTGTTGGGTGTTTCTCCTACAAATAAAAAAAAATTATTCATTTTCTCATTTTTTTATCTATAAAATATCATATTCATTTAAAATGAGAAAAATTTTCAAATGAAATAAAATGAAATGTAAATGATTATAAAATCAATAAGTGTAATCTAATTTAAAATGATTATTATAGATATTTAAAAAAAAAAAAAAATCAATTTTAATTTTTTACCTAATGCACAAAAGAAAAAAACAAATAATAAGTTAGAAATGCTGTAAAATTACAAATTATAAATGAAATATACCATAACCGATTTCTGATTTAGCAGCATTCAATCTTTTTTCCAACGTTTCATCCGTTTCTGTTCCTCTATTTCTTAAACGATCAGCGAGCGAGTCCAATGATGGTGGTTTGATAAAAACATATAGAGCATTCAAATCAGTTTCTTTAATTTGCTTTACTCCTTGAACATCAATGTCCAAAACGCAAATTTTTCCTTTTTTAACACAATCTTCGACAGATTTTTTACTATGACAAGATAATGTAAATAGCATACAAGCAATTCATACATATGGTTTTTTGAAAATTGTCTCTCTCTCCCCTTCCCCCCCTAATGAAGTAAGGATTAGAGTAAAAATTTTTTCAATACCTGGTACCGTAGATATTTCCTGAAAAAACTGCAGTTTCAATAAAATCACCATTTTCAATTGCATCAGACATATCTTCCTTTGTTGTGAAATAATAGTGCACTCCATTTATTTCACCCGGTCTCGGAGATCTGGTTGTATGAGATATGGAAAATTGAAATTTATCAGGAAAATCATCCAATAATTTTTTGAGTAATGTCGATTTACCAGATCCCGAGGGACCGCATAAAACCAACGCTTCTATAGAACATTGAACCATTTTACGAACTGAAAAAATTTTTTTACTTATTATTGCATTTAAAAAAACCATTGCCTTTAATTTCGTACAAAATTTAATTAAATAATAATTAATGTTAGTTATTTTTTTTTTTTTTATTATTCCAAAAAATTAAATAAACTTTTATTAAAGAAGAAAAAAAAAAAAAAAAAAAAAAAAATCGAAACTTGTTTTAACAATATTGCAGTGCGATATACAAAATCGAACAACATCTACCACGTTGCTGAAGTATGTCAATGAGCGACAGTTTTAAACAAATATGGCTTGATTAAACTCTTATATAAGTAAAAAAAAATTAAAAAGGCATTACTTACCGAAGAATGCACAATGGATTTTCTGGTAAATACTTGAAAATGTTAATGAAAAAGTGGGACAACCTATTCATTTCTATGACAACAAAACCACTTTTTCATCTTTTACTGGAGCAATCCATATCCTTTTGGTCATGCGAAATAAATTCCTAATAGGTATTTTTTTTTTTTTTTTTTTTTTTTTTTTGTATTTTATTCCCCTAAAGTACGACGTCAAATAAACTTGTTTTGTAATTGTAAAAAAATTTAAAACATGTTTTTCTTTTTTTTTTTTTTTTTTTTTTTTTTCAAAAATAAATTATTGTCTTGTCATGCAATTTTACAATTACATTTTTAAATTAAAAAAAAAAAAAAAAAATTAATTTTGTTTATTAAATCATCCTTAAACAATATATATATTGAATAGAAAGCTCATACTTAACTTAACCTAAACAGATTAGTTTTAAATAAAACTCGTTTCATATAAGCTAAACATAAAACGTTTAATGACGTAGTAATAATAATAATAATAATGAATGTGGTAAAAATGAAACGTTTAATTTACAACAGAAAATGAAAACTTATGAGTGTTGTTAAATATAAGTTAATAATTATTATATTTATTTATTTATTTATTTAATCAGAGTATTTTTTTTTTTTTGTTTTTCGATAATATATTTATTATTTGTTAAATGTATTTTTTAAATTGTATTAAAGTAGTTGTCAAAAATGGCTAAAATTATTTTTCTGATACCTATTATACTGTTAAGTACACTTTGGTTGTATGTTTTACATTATTGTGCTCCCAATTTAAATGAAAATGAAAATTTTAAAGTAAGATTGAATTTTATACAAAAAAAAAGTTATAAATGAAATACTTTTTTATTAATTGTTTATTGATTTTTTTAATTATTTTAGGATGAGTTAAAATTTCCAAGTAATTTGGAAGAACTTAAAAAAATTGCAGAAACATTAAAAATATATTCGATTAGTAATTGGTGGTTTGTTTTTTTATTATTCGGAAGTGCCTACATTTACAAACAGTCATTTTGCATTCCAGGCTCGTTATTTTTGGTGAGTGATAAAGTTTAATTTTTTTCTTTATAACTTTTTACCAAAAAAAAAACAACTGATAACCTAAATAATAATAATTTTTTATAAATTTTTTTAACTGTTTGATATATTTTTTTCGTTGAGAAAAAATAACATGTTAAAATTTTATTATTTCAGAATTTATTAGCAGGAGCTTTATATGGTAGAATCGGAGGATTATTTATTGCATGTTTGCTTACAGCAATCGGTGCTACATTTTGTTATTTTCTTTCGCTCACATTTGCCAAAGAAATAGTTTTTAAATATTTTTTAAAAAGATTTTCAAAGTTTAAGAAAAAAGTTAATGAAAATAAAAATAATTTATTTTATTATATGCTATTCATTAGATTAGTTCCAGTTACTCCTGGATGGGTTATTAATATTGTTTCACCTCTTGTAGATGTTCCACCGATAATTTTTTTTATAAGTACATTTTTCGGTAAGTAAAACTTATTGGATTTTTTTTATGAAAAAAAAATGTCCTTTAAATTTTTTTAATTTGGCATATGCAGGATTAGGACCTTACAATTTTGTTGGAGTAAGTGCTGGTCAAATGTTATCATCTTTAAAATCTATCGATGATGTTTTTACCTGGAATGTTTTATTTACTATAAGTGCTATTGCAATAATTGTCGGATGTCCTACCTACTTAATGAAAACTCTAGGAAAAAAATACAAGATTAAAACCTCATAATATTTAATTTTATCTTAAACCATTATTTTTTTTTTTTTTTTTTGTAATATTATCAAAGCTTTAATTTTAATTAATATCGATTGCATAAAATTTTAAAACTGAAACTGAATCTTACATAATCAAGCCTATTAGAAAATGAGCCCAAGTTTTATTCATTGATTTTTTACTCTTATTAAAAATTTTAATGGCTTTAAACTGTCATTGTTTTAACATGTAATGAATACATAAAAAATAGTATTTTTTATTTAAAAAAAATAATCAGTATGATTCAAACACACAGTATTATTATCTCATGCCTAAATCTGCAATATTTGAATATTGAAGCCGATTGTTTTTAATACATTTTTTTTATTTTCTGTTATTTAATAATTTTTCTTATATTATTTATATATTTTATTTTAAAATTATTTATAGTAATTTTTTTTTTTTTGTAATGGTGTTTTTATTTATATTTGTTAAATTTTTATACATTAATTTTATATGATAAAATAAAATTTAAATTTTAAAAAATAATAATAATAATTTTTCTTTTAATAATAATAAAAAAAAAAAAAAAATACCTGATGCATAAAATACATAAACAATAATAAACAATTAACATTTCATAAAAAAATAAACTTTTTTTTTTAAATAACAATATTTAAGCTTTTTGATTATCACTTTTATTAAATTACAATTTGAAGCTCTTATGTTTTTTTTTTTTTTCTCGTCTAAATGGAATGAATGTTTAAATACTTAAATGCAGTGCAGATGAGGTGTTAAATTTGATTTTTTAAAAATTTTCTTAAATGGATTTCATTTTTGCCATTAGATCTTCTAATGTGGTTTGAACTTCCTCAACACTGTTTGAATCAGTGGTACTTAATATTGGGGCATCATAAGCTCTTTTTAATCCCTCTGCCAATTCTTCATTTGCAGATGATTTGAGTAATTCGGCAGGGGTTTCATCGACAAGGCTGATACCCCAATCGTTGTCTTCATGTACCACTTCGTTATTTGTTTCAGTAATTTCTTCTTCGTTTTCTGGTTCAGCTTCAGCTAGTTTTTGTTTTAATTGACAATTGTAATCATCACATACTGGATTAGCTTTAAGCGTCATTTGAGGAAAAAAATCTAATAAAGCATTATACCCTAAGTAATAGCTAACTTTTCCAAAATTTAATAAGTACCTAAAAAAATGAGTTTAATTAAAATTTACAGATTATTTAATGTATTCATATATAAAAACTATTAATTGAATTCTAAGGTTTTTACTTTAGAGCATTTTGCACGAGTAAACCAGCTACGACAGCCATTGTAGTAGGCAATGAAGCTGCACAAACGCCTTCTTTTTTTAATGTTTTTTCATCTCCTGCTGCAACCACTAAAGGTGGTGCACACTAAAATAAAAAATAAAATTTATTTAAAATATCAATTTTATAACAAATTTTATATTAATAAAAAGAAGAAAAAAAAACAAAATTCCTAAACTTACAGCAAAGCAAGCTGTTCTGCCAGGTTTAATTAACTGTACATGACCAGAGACAGCATTTTCTGAAACTCCCGATTCCATCCAAACTTGATTTAGTTCATTACATGCAGTGTTAATAGCCATTCTTGCCTCAAAATTATCAACACAACTTAAAACTAGATCAACAGAATTTCCTTTAAGGCCTCCGAATTGAATTCTATCAAGAAAGGTGCCAAAATTATCAACAGTAGTTATATTAAAATTATGAGTTTCCATTTCAACATCTGGATTTATATTTTTCAGTGTAGCAGCAGCTGCTTCAACTTTTGATTGACCAGCTTGATCAGGTGTAAAAAAAAGACGATTCATATTTGCAAGTTCTACTTTGTCGTAGTCAAATAAAATTAGCTAAAAAATAATAAAAATTTTAATTGTCATCTGTAATTACCCATATTTAAATCTACATTGCAAGTTTTGTAATTATACAATATGTTATCTTGGTATATTATTAATTTTAAAAAAAATTCAGTTGTTTGACCAAAAAAATAAATAATTACCTTTCCGATGCCACAACGAGTTAGCATTTCTGCAGTAACACTTCCAACACCTCCTACTCCTACCACAGCAACACTTTTTAGTCTAATATCTTCATAATTTTCAACAACTCCCATACGCTTTAAAGCCATTAAACGACTGAAAAATATGATTCTTTAATTTAAAAAAAAAATATAAAAAAAAAAAAAAGGTTTTTAATTTTTATTTTGTACACTACCTGTAAGGATTTGAATCCACAACTTCAGATGACATTTCTTCAATTTTTTCTCTTTTGCAAACATTTTTAGTTTTTTCATTAGCAAGTTCTTCTTCTAATTCCTTAATTCTACTTTGAAGAGACTCTAATGAATCCATTTCGAATAAAAAACAAAGGTAAAATATCAAAAAAATAAAATTTATATTTATCCAGATGTGTCAAATTAAGTGTCCAACCAGTAAATACTGTGCGATGATGTAAATATAGCAGACGATATTAACTGTACAACTGATTGCAATAAGTTGAGTAATTTAGCGCGTAAATTTTAAAAACTTTTTATATGTTTTGGAAAAATATTTTAATAATTGCTACGGAAATTTTTATAATTAAAAAGAGAAAATGGTTATGTTTTAAACTTTAATAAAATTATTTAATGTTTTAAAATTAGGCATTTCATTAAAATTTTTAATTCATAAAAATAAACATTAAATTTATTCATAAAATATATTTTCCTAATAATTTTTTGCTCATTGACAGCAAATAATTATTTATAATATTTTTATTCAATATAATTTATAACGCTTTGTTAAAAAATAATTTCCTATTCACAGTTTTAAAGATTAAAATCCTTTTTTTAATGATTAAACAAAAAAATGTTTAACTTCATCGAGAGAAAAATTTTTTAGAAACGCTCTCTATGATTGTAAATTTGAATTGTAGGTTATGGCAGCACTGACGATGACAATAAATTGTTCGCGTCGAGTCTGTTTCGGATACTAATGTTGCTCAGAGTATTTATAAAACGGATTATAAATTTTTTTTCAACTTACCCACGTTGCAAACACGTGCCGTCGGTATCAG